TCTCTCTCACACACACACACACACACACACACACACACACACGGCGGGGCGACGCGTGTTCTGAAAGTGTCCCGCATCTGAAACCATACATTTAGAAACCTGACACCTTGATGCAGTCACTGCTCCTCCAGAGTACATGCAGCCCAACATAAAACTGGACATCGATAAAACAACGAAATAAATGAGTTAACTTTAAAAAGGAAGGAGAGAGTGCTTCCGTCTTTTGTTGTTGTCATCAAAAGGCCTGCTGGAGAAAAACACACCTGAAGTGCTTTCTTCTGAAAAATACCATTCGACATGAGTTCACTGAATGAATCCATTCCCAACACGAGCTGATGCAGATCTGAATAATGATGGAATAATAATTTCAGATCTCCACAAACTGAAGCTTGCGAGTAAATCTTCATCTTTAACAGCTTCCTAAAGAGGCTATAAACTCAGTTTGAATTCAGACAAAACTATTTAAAATAAGACCAGAACAGTTGTACAATAATATTTGTACTAAAGGAGAAAATGATTTAATGGTTTTTCTATGACAGCATAATATTATTGGTAAAAACGAAAAGAAAAATAACAGAACAGAACAGACTACACATTTTTCTGTGCATTATTAATAATTTATGATGAGCAATTTAAATGGTGGCAGAACAATTTCAATGCATCAGTACTGACAAACCGGTGTAAAAATACTAGCATTCCCCAGATTCCCCATCAACCCAAGACTTATTAGCTGTCAATCATCTCATCATATTCCACACACAGTCTGGAAATTAATCGAAGCAATAACAAACCAAACATTTCAGCTCAAGAACGAGTCCAGTATTAAACACGTGTCTGACACAGTGGTCCAGCAGACACAATAATTCATTATGAATTCTTCAGAATCGACAGAAATTACAAAACCGTTAATACTCGAAAATAGGCTCTGGACAAAGAAACGTCTGAAAGTGCTTGGCAGATAATCTGTAAAAGTCTTCAATGGTAAAAACGCTCTGAATGTAGAAAACTAGACTTGGGTGTGCTGCTCTTCACACCAGCATCTTCAGCAAGGCACGTTGACTGGATTCAGTGCATTAGAAACTGGAGATCATTCACGGATCTGTCTTTGGGTGCGAGCGGTTACTGAGAAACAGCTGTTAAATCACAGACAGACGGTGGAAATAAAACATCATGAAGTGCAACTGATCACATAATCCAGTAGAACACAGTCGAGTCTTCTGCTGTGAGAGTTTTAAAGTAATTCTTAATCAACTGCATGCTGGTGTACAGTACAAAATCATAACAGGATTGATTATTTGAGATTTCCCCACGGACAAACCGAACAGAATATAACAGCTTCTGAATGATGACATGATTTTAGCAAACAGGGTCTTTGTATTAAAATGTCATGTCCTCTAAAATGAAAAAAAAAAAAACAAGAGAAGTTGGATAATAAAATCAAGTTTTAAAAAACAGCACTCAGTAAAGGCTGCTGTTTTGTCGTTCATGATGAACCCAATGAATCTGTGGAATGGAGCAGTCAAATAAATAACGCTGTCAGTGTTTACGAGGGACAGCATCAGACCGGCGTTTCTGTAGGAAGATCTGACAGAGTTTGCAAGGCACCCGACGGCTGTGACGTCTGTGAACCGCACACAAGAGTCAGAGACGGGAAGATGATTGAACAGATGCACAATCACAACTCATCTCTGAGAGTCTCCTCAGACACACAGTGAAGTCTGGAGAGTCTGAGTCAAAGACTGCTGCTGGTGAGGATGATGATGATGATGATGAAGGGAGTGTGGACAGAAGGACAGAGCGCAGCTGTTTCAGACGATCAGTTCAGTAAAGGCACAGGAGCTGCATCTCTGGCGTGTTCACGGCCGCAGCGTCACTCGTTGAGATTGCTGTTGAAGGAGTCTAAGACCGTGGCGTTGGTGTTCTGGAAGAGCCACCGCTGGCTGAGAGACGAGGGATCGCAGGAGTTCATGAAGATCCGCTTCTGTGCAGCATCAGAGTCAACACAGCTGTTACTGATGGGGTGATAGAGGCTCTTATCCTGCCACACACACACACACACACACACACACACAGAGACACACACATCAGTATATCACAGTTTATAGCTGCACATGACAACAATCAAGCACAGTTTTGTTTGCTGATGAGGGTGAGGCTGGTTCTACTCTCTAAAGTAAAGTAAATCTGACATGGTTTTCTCTTCTGACTGCTTTTATTAATAGGGTGGCCATGTGTGCCATTTATACGGGACGCGTCCTGGCCAGTAGTTGTATATTGCCTAAAACATCCAAAGTAGTTTGACCAATAACATGCATGGCACATATTAATGTCTTATTCTACATGACCATATTTTAGATCCTACCTAAACTTAACAACAAACTTACAACTATTAATACGCAGCAAATTAGGAGTTTGTTGAGGTCATAGTTAGGGTGGCCATATGTGCCATTTATACAGGACACGTCCTGGCCAGGATTTTTATATTGCACTAAAACATCCAAAGTAGTTTGACCAATAACATGCAGGTATTGTACATAATCGACCAATCGTGGTGCGTGAGAGCGATCAAAGCGATGCAAATACACGCATGTGTTTGTTCTTCGCTGCACACGGATCATTGTATGACACCAAAGTACCGCAAGCAGCCGTCTGCTCTGCTCTCCATAGCTCTTGTGAAATAATGTCATACAATGATCGATCTGCACAGTGCTAACAGACAACACCTGCATATTTTAGGCAATACAGAAATCCTGGCAGGGGTGCGTCCCGTATGGGGTTGTAGGGCGGGACTTGGTTCAGAGCATCGGTTGTTGATTGGATGTTGTGATGTGGGCGTGGCTGGCGGGGAAGTGGGCAGGAAGTTCAAAATAAACTTGGAATAATAAACTCAGCTGACAGTAGAGAAGGTGAATCATTTACTGTGACTATTGTTTGTAATGTTTGATCTCTGGGCAGATGAGCTCAGTACCTTCCTGTAGGCCCACAGCTGGTTCCCCTTCATCCCGTGGCAGTCCACACACGCATGCACGCACACATACACACACACACACACGCACACAAACACACATAGACACACAGAGAGAGACACACACACAGACACACAGAGAAACACACACACACACACGCACGCACGCACGCACAAACACACATTATACAGACACACACACACACACGCGCGCGGGTGTTAAGACAAAGGTTTGAAACTAACACATGTTGTGTGCCTGCGTGAGAGGAATAAACTCTCTACATCAGCAGATCTCAATAGTAAATATTCATCATTCTAAAGGAGAAACCGAAATAAGGATATTCAAGATATACGAAGCGTAAACAAAGCAGCGCTTGCTCACTATTTTGAACATCAGTAACGTTGATAACGTTCTTCAATTTTAAGCGGCCCATGTTGTTATGAAAACATTCTCATACTGGGATGCTTGGGAAAGATCACGCAACATTAGAACAGCCTTCTGTCTGTGTTACTAGTTTACATCGCTTTCACTTGTATTCTCCTGCACTGACTCGTTCACTAAACTCACATGTTGAATGTATGAGTGTAACCCGACAGACTTTGGCTTGCTGTGTCCCGAGCTGAAGACTTAATCTTTAAACACGTTCAGAGCGCTCTGTTGTGTCCTAACTGTAGACTAGTGTAGCTCCTCACCTCTCCCCACGCAGCGGCCGGAGGCTCCACCGGAGGATAGTGTTTGGCCAGATCCCAGGCCACCTCCGTCATGAACCAGCGGAAGCTCCTGCAGCTCAGCCGGCTCCTCAGCTGCTTCTGCGCGGACACGTCTCCGGCGGACAGGTGCCGGTACTCCGGCCGCCGCTGGTAGATAAACTCTGCATACTCGTCCATCCACACCTCAGCCACACGCTTCAGATTCTGCAACACAGCGGCGGATCACACGCTTTCATCCATGTGTTACTCAGTCTCAGGCGTAAAGCTGCGTCAGCAAACTAGGCCTTCCTTTCACATCCCTCACTATTTTGAATCACCAACAATCCTTTGCACACATACCAATTCACAAAAAATTAGCTTATCCTAATTCATCATAAACTTCAAAAGAGAAAAATGATTTTGGAGATGAGGGCATTTCTTGATCACGTGATGCTAAACTACACACAATGTAAAGCACTGGAGATGCAGACGGCTGTCATTCACTGAACTGCATCCTAGCGTCTCGTTCTAGTGTGTAATGCTGAGGACTCTTTACCGACGCAGCTTTCCGTCTGAGACACACCACAGACCTGCACTGCTTTAGCTGCAGAAATGATCAGAATATATTTCAACAGATTCTGGCCCGTGAAACAAACCGGGTCAGATCTCAGCGTGACCCGGATCTGACGCTCAAACTCACCCTGGCAAGACTCACTCCGCCTGGCACTTTATAGGGCATGTATTTCCTATAGATGTGACCGACTCGAGAGCAGGGAACGTCCTCCATACGACCGCCACACATCCACACCTCAGAGAGCAAGAGAACAGGCTTTCAGACGAATGAAGGAAAACACACGAGTACTACTGACAGCAGACTCAGATCAGACAAACTGCGTGCTTCTGCTTTTGCAGTTTAGTTGTACACCGAGTAATTATGTGTATGATTAGGGATGAAATATGACTGAATGTGTTTCTAAACATATGTCACGGCATCAGATGTGAGCAGAAACAGTCAATAATGATCTAAACTGTGACACATCTTGGAAATAGAGCGTGTTTTCCTGAAACCACTAGGGGTCGCTGTATCTGACTTTACTGTGAATGCAGACTGAGTTATATGTGTCCCTGGAGCACAAAAGCAGTCGCTGGGTATATTTAGAACTTCATTTGAACAACTTTAAAGATGATTTTCTCAATATTTCAATTTTTTTTGCACCCTCAGATTCCAGATTTCGCTGATTTTATTCTCCGTCTCAGATGCAAGGTTTTTTTTCTGTTGTTGTTGGTTATCACAGCAGCAGCTTGAAATGAAAAGCAGCAAAGCTTAATGTGCATCGACGTCTATACATTAATTAAGGCTACTGTATTGCCCAGGATAATGACACAGCAACTGTTGCCGGTGTAACCGTCATACCAGTATCAGATGTATTTGCGCTGTGATCGTGTGCTGATGGCGAGTGTAAGCAGGTTTATATCATAACCATCACCTTGAAGGAGATCTCGTACTGCTCTCCTCCCCAGATCTCCAGACCCGTGTCATATCCTCCCAGCTCCCAGAACCACTTCCTGTCCACAGCGAAGAGACCGCCTGCCATCACCGGAGACCTCACAGAAGAGACAGAAACACGGCTCAAACTAAACTAACACCACAGAGAAACACAGATTACAGAAATACACCTTTAATGAGCCGATCACTTCAGTACTTCAAATCAATGTAGTATTTGGCACAAAAGTAGTACAATGCATGTAGTTATTTACATTTTCATATATCTCTTATATGAAAGAGATATCTCATAGTCACTTTCTGTCTTCTGCAGAGCACAAAAGAAGATTATGAATGTTTTTCTTCATACGATAAAAGTCAGTGGGGTCATAATAATCCCAGAGAGCCTGTTCACTCGTGTGTTTTCACTGACTGCTGTAAATACCCTCCACAGACGGATCTGCTTGCTCAAGCCACAGATGTATATTTTCCTCTCCCTAAAGAGCAATAAATAAAAGTGTGAGCGTGTTTTACTGCTAGCCAGATGCACAGCGCTACTGTAACACACGCCTCACACAAACAAACCAGATCTCTTAAACGACGCTATGAGTGCTAGAGCCGGAATGACATGTAACATCTGCTGCTGAGTTTGTGAAGTCGGCTCCACTGAATGTGTGTATAGCGTGGATATCAATGACTGGATTTATATCGGTTTGGATGAGACACAGTTACGTGGCCATGTGTCAATTAAACGTATCATATAATGACACGATTGCCTGATGTAGGAAGTGAAGTGTGAATATTCAAAACATCTTCCCTCCAGAATGTCAGAAATAAAGTGTTTTATGGAGAAAAAAACTGCATGCAGTAACACACACACTCACACACGCACTCACTCACTCACACACAGACACACACACGCACTCACACACACTCTCTCACACACACTCACTCACACACACACTTACACACACACACTCTCACACAGACATACACGCATTCACTCACTCACACACAGAC